GCCCCGTGCACAGCTGCTGGGCACCTGTCGCTGGCATGGGGGGGGGGGCAGGTGGGCGCCTTGTGGGCTCGCCCCTCCCGGGGCTCCGCTTCCCTGAGGCTGGGACGTTCTGGGTCCTGGCCATGCGGGCTCACAGGCTGCGCGTCTGTCCCTTCTGTCGCTGGCTCCTAGCCCCTCGCTGCCAAGGCCCCACTCCCCAGCAACACCCAGTCCTCTAGGTGAAGAAGGGTACTGGGAGTCTGCAGTGGTGTGACAGCCCCACGGGCCTGACCTGTACCCCCAGCGTGGGTGCCAGTCACGGTGGTAACAGCACCACTCAGAGCAGCCCTGAGGCCACTGTGCACCCCCAGCTCTGCTCACACACACCCGATTCTCACAAAAGCCCCGAAACGCGTTCTGCTCTCCCAGCTAAAAGAGCAGAAGCCGAGGCTCAGAGAAGGCAGGCAGTGGCGGGTGCAGACGCAGATGGCAGGATCACCCCACCCCGCCTGCAGAGGGACGTGGGGGGTGCCCCCACCAGTGTGGGGGGAAGCGGGGCAGGTGGCCCTGGAGGTCAAGGGGGGAAATTAGGCCCCACTCACGCCGACCCCAGATGAGCCCACCCCACACGCCATAGAAAGGCACCATGTTGGTCGTGGGGGACACTCGAGTGGGGACGTGCCGCCCGCGTGGGACACATCACACATGCTGCTGTCCCCGCCCACCTGAGGGGGCCGGCTGGCCGGTCCGCTGTGCACACAGAGCGGGAGCTCCTTGTCGCAGTCTTGCCGTGGTCCCAGGCTCTCAAGGTCCCAGTCTTGCCGTGAACGGGTAGACATTGCACCCGCCTTCCCCGTGTGAGGGCAGCGGGCTGACCTGGAGGGGAGGCCTTCACAGGGGCCTCTGCAGACAGGACTCGAACCGAGAAGCTGGAGCCGAGCCCAGCATGTGCCACAGGCCCGTGGTGACTGGGTGGTCTTCGTCCCCTCCCCGGCACGTTAGAAATGACTCCAGAACAGCTCGCCTTTGAGAAGTATTTAGTTATCCAACCCCATCTCCTTCCCGGTGAGTCCCGTGAACCACTGGCGGAAAGGTCAGTCTTCTCCTCTGGTCCCGGCCGCCTCTGCCCGCTGTGCCCAGAAGGGCCCTCCTCCCAGGACGGGACACAGCTGGCCTGGTTCAGAGCCAGAGCCCGGCATGTGCTGGGGAAGCAGTGCCAGTGGGGTTACAGACCCCACCTGAGCACAGCCAGCATCCTCCACGTCCCCAGCATCTTTGGGCTTATCTTCAGCAGGTTTCTGAAACAGCCCCCGACCCCCGGGTCCCAGGGGAGACCGGCCTCACCACCCTTCTTGATTCAGGAAGCCTGTCCTTCTCTCAGGGAACTACAGCCCTCTGCTCTGCCCCGCTGTGTCCTCCCAGTGACCTGGGAAGGTTTGTTGCCCGGATCTGAGATGCTGGACTGCAGAAAGGAAGGAAACAGCTGCTTTCTGAGCGCAGAAGTTCCCTAATTTGACCCTGGCAGTCATTATGGGTGTCAGGTCTGGCGGGGCACGCCCTGCGCTCCCAGTTTGCCTGGTACCAGGGGTTTTCTGGGTGCAGGACTCCCAGCACTCAGGCCAGGATGGTGGGGACAGTTGTCACCCTGTGAGGGAGGACACAGCCCTCAGGCCAGGATGACAGGGACAGTTGTCACCCTGTGAGGGAAGACCCAGCAGGTGGCAAGACAGGTGGGTCCTGCCCCTCTGGAGGGCCACAGCCTGTTTCCCAGGGGCCCAACAGTCACATCTACGAGTAAGAGCCAAAGATCTGGGGGCCCAGCAGGGACTGCTCACCTCAGACCAGGGCAGGGAAGGCCTGGCTGGGTCCTCTGTTCTCTCTCTGGTCCTCAGCCCTACCCCAGGCCTCTGACGCCAGGATCAGTATCCCAGCTTTGCAGATGAGGTGAAGGACACTCAGGTGGGCAGAGGCCTCTCCCAGGATGAAGGGTCAAGGCAAAGTTGACACCCCAGCCCAGCCTGCTGCTTAGCCAGGGGCCCGTCCCCCACCCCTGCTGCCCTGGCCTGGCCACAAGTCCCTGCTCCTTCTGGAGAGTGCTGAGGGAAGGTCACCACCAGTAGCTGCGTGCAGAGCCTTGTCTCCCCTGTCCCCTGCCGGGGTGGGAGGCGGAAGGCAGACATAGCTGGAGGCCAGGGAAGGGTTAACAGCACCCATAGGCGGGCTGGGGGCCACTCTGCATATGAGCCAGAGGCCAGTCCTTAGCTGCCCTAGCAAGCCCGCGACCCACACAATTCTCTGCAAGGAAAAAAAGAGCAGAGATGTAATGAGCCAGCCACCCTTCACTGATTTGCACATAATCGTGTCTTTCCCTTAATGGAACCACCAACCGAGGCGCCCTGACACCTGCTCCCTCCATTTTCCCCATTTGATTCGAGAGGTTTAGGTGGTGCCGGGTCACGTCCAGTTCAGTGTTGAGCAGACATTAGGGTTACCGGGCTGGCCTGTGCCTGCACTTGGTGACAGCCTGTCCTCCGGGCCGTGTAGCAGCCCCCCCACCCCGACATTGCACACCTGGCTGTGTGGCTCAGCGTGGCCCAGCTCGTGGCCTGCCTGTCTGGACTGAGAACTTTCTGAAGGCTGGGACTTGCGCATTTCTCTGCTCCTGTCACCTTTGCTGCAGGTGCTAGTGGGACTTGTGGGGCGGGTGGCGAACATTAGAGCGAGTGAATGTTGTCCAGTGATCTGGGGCGGGCTGCAGGAAGTAGGTTCTCCTCCTGGAGATGTGGGGTGGGCAAGGGGCGGGCCCTGGGGCTTCCTGGAGGTCAGTCTCCACTGGCGCCCCACACCCACACTCTCAAGAGACATTTTCACTCGTGTCCACGCCCGACACTGTATCCCAGGAACGTGAGGCAGGAATCCAGACAGAGCTCAGTATAAAAATGTGTGCATTGGGGATATTTATATACCGAAAAAGTGGACACGGCCTGCGTGGGGCTGGGTGGGTAGATTAGTTTATTGCTTTAATGGAATCGCCTGCAGGCTTTGAAAATGTGCTCACGGAAACAGCAACATGTGGAACACGCTTATATTCCGTGGTCCCAGAGAGCAGCTACCGGGCCACGGTACTGAAGACACGTGGAAGTCGGCACTGGGACGCTGAGTGTGGCTGGGGGAAGGGCTGGGATTATGGGGGCTTATCAGAAAATGAGTTCTGTTTCTATGAACTTCCCAAGTTTTCCGTAACGTGTCGTAAAAGCTTGTGATTCTCAAGAAACAAAGGATGTGGGGGGCACTTCATCTCAGAAGGCTTTGCTGGAAGAATGGACTTGGTGGGAAATGTGGGGGGTTCTGGACCCGCAGCTCCCTCCCCC